TAGTAGTTAGTTACGTTATTACTTATTAATAACGTACTATACGTACGTACGTAGAGTAGTANCTACTACTACCTACTACTACACACACACACACACACACACACACACACTACATATATATATATATATATATATATATATATATATATATATATAGAGAGAGAGAGAGAGAGAGAGAGATTATATACAATGAGAGTTTTTACCTTTTGTATAGGGAGGTCACAATTACTTACGACCATCTGATGTGAAATCTGATAGCTTGGGCTGATAGCTTGGGTGTGTAACAAAGTTCGAGAAAATTTCTTTTGGACTTTGAGCTTGGTCAATGAAATAAATGCGGCCACCTAATTTCATATCCATTGGTCAAGATTAATTGTGACCACCTTGTATCAAAGGTCAATGGTCTCATTGTATATATATAAGAAGCATCTATGCAACACCTTTGGGCGAAAATGAATATTATTTTCCCCCATAGGCTTATCACCATCCGAAAAAATCGGATTGCGTGTGTTTTTCGATTGCCACGGACTTAGTATGTTCGTGGCGGTACCGTCATGGACCTAGTAAGAATGCGGAACCGCGCCATCCGTTGCGGTTCCATTCAATGAACTGCCATGGACATAGCAAGTCTGTGACGGTGGCAAAACACTATAGCACTTTGCCTATAGGCGTTTTTTAGGTTTTTCCACATATATATATATATATAGGGGAATGATTTCATGCAACGGTTGTATAGTAATATAATACAACCACACTTCTAAAAAACCATGTTTGTAGCATTTGTATCACCCCAAAAATTGGACATACCCTCTCTTCATTCCAATAGTCAATTTCCAAAAAATAAAATAAAGTGAATTTGCATCATAGATATGGTTAAAATGAGTCCCCTCCAACAATGAATCTAGACCATCCATTTGGTCAATTTCAAGATCTAGGCTTTTACTAACTCAAGATCATTTTTTTCTTTTTCATCATTGTTCATCTAATGATAACAAAGCTATCCAAAAATTTTGAAAAGAGAAAAATCCTTTTAAGGTCTAGATCTAAGCACGTTAACAAAATGGACGGCGTATGTTGATTGGGTTAAAATAACACTTTTTAAGGTGCATTTTCAATTTTTATTTTTTTGTGATTGTTCAATGGAATAGAGAGAGAGAGAGAGAGAGAGAGAGAGAGAGAGAGAGCCATAGTGACCTTATGCCTACGGTCTGTACTTATGCAGTTTTTTCAAGTCAGATGCCTGAATTACTTCTTATGTTTTTTACAACAGGTCAAATATGTTGTAGAGCTTGCGACGGCTCTTGGTACCATGCCAGGGGTTTATCGCGTTGATCTATTGACGAGGCAGATATCATCCTCAGAGGTGGACTGGAGTTATGGTGAGCCTACAGAAATGCTAACCCTTGGAAGACCTGAAACTTCAATGCAAGAAATAGGAGAGAGTGGTGGTGCATATATTGTTCGAATACCATTTGGCCCCAGAGATAAATACATCTCTAAAGAACTCCTTTGGCCTTATATTCAAGAATTTGTTGATGGTGCTCTTACCCATATTACAAATATGTCAAAAGTTCTTGGGGAGCAGATTGGTGGGGGGCAACCAGTTTGGCCTGTTGCTATCCATGGCCACTATGCTGATGCCGGGGATTCTGCTGCTCTCCTTTCGGGGGCCTTAAATGTGCCAATGCTCTTCACTGGTCATTCTCTCGGAAGAGATAAATTAGAGCAACTTGTGAAACAAGGGCGCCAGTCAAGGGAGGAAATAAATGCAACCTATAAAATAACGCGTAGGATAGAGGCTGAGGAATTGTGTCTTGATGCTTCTGAAATAGTCATCACAAGCACTCGACAGGAGATTGCAGAACAGTGGGGTTTGTATGATGGGTTTGATGTAATACTTGAGCGCACGCTTCGAGTAAGAATGAAGCGAATTGTGAGCTGTTATGGTCGTTACATGCCTCGCATGGTGGTAAGTGCACATTCATTTAATTTCTTAAGATTGCGAAGTTACTTTCAGCCACCATGCCATGACACCCTATGTTGTATTGCATATGGCTAATGCAACTCCTACTTAGTCCCTCTGTGTGTGTGTGTATGTGCACATCCATGCGTGTGTAATTTGTTACTTCATGTAAGAAATATGAACTCGACAACTATCTGTGGGTTTGTCTCAATGAGCAAGATTTCTGCAGGTAATTCCTCCTGGGATGGAGTTCAACAATATTGTTGAACATGATGGTGATATTGAGGGTGAGCCTGAAGGAAATGAAGAGGCCTCGGCTACTCCAGATCCACCTATTTGGTTTGAGGTGTTATACATATCACTATGACATGTCTGAATCAAATTACTCATGACAAGAATTACTTTTCGATGGCACTAATGATATTTATATATTCCAATAGAAAAAAATGGAATGTATATATACTGGTAGCCTTCTGGTGCTTTGAACTTTCAAGTTACTTTTACCATTACCGAAGTACCTTCTAGTCACTGTAAACTAAGTTCTGTTAGGGATGTTTAATAGATAATGCGCTTCTTTACAAATCCTCGGAAGCCAATGATCCTTGCTCTCGCTCGACCGGATCCCAAAAAGAACATTACAACATTAGTCAAAGCATTTGGTGAATGCCGCCCTTTGAGGGAGCTCGCTAACCTTGTGAGTGCCTTACCAGGAGCGTTTCTGTTCAGTTGACTTTTTATTGTCAGTTAATTATGCATTTTTCGTTAAGTGAATCTTTATATGTTTTTTCTGGATTAATCCTTTCATGCGTTTATGAAACAGACTTTGATTATGGGAAACCGTGAAAATATTGATGAGATGTCCAGCGCAAATGCAGCTTATCTCACGACAATTCTTAAACTGATTGACAAATATGATCTATATGGTCAAGTAGCATATCCAAAGCACCACAAACAGTCTGATGTTCCTGAAATTTATCGCTTAGCAGCAAAAACGAAGGTACTTAATATCTGCGTTAAACTGATAGATGTGTGTCGTAATTATGCTTCATGTCAGTAATCTGCACATTGATCTATCTACCATGTAATTTCGTTCACTAAAGAAATCTGCTTTCAGAAACATTTTACAGCTCATTCCACAAAAATGTCTCTAATGACCATTTAGAATTTAGCTTTTCCAATATGTGATGGTTCAATATTGTTTACAATAATTTTGGAATTTTTGTCATTCTTATTCTTTGTCTTTCTTGCAGGGTGTTTTTATAAACCCCGCCTTCATTGAACCATTTGGTTTAACTCTCATAGAGGTGCGTTACATTGAGGAAAGTTTTGTTGTATGTTACTGAATTCATAGGTTTATTTGACGATGTTCATTTGTTTTCTGAGCAGGCATCAGCAAATGGATTGCCCATAGTTGCAACGAAAAATGGAGGTCCAGTAGATATACATCGGGTTTGTCAACCTTCTGCTTCAAGTTCTCATTAATTTTTCCTACTCAATTGGTTACAAGTGCATCTGTGAGAAGTCCTTGTTTGGCAGACCTGCATATGCTAAGCAAGTGCTCTATATACTTGTTATTTTGAGGAGGCACCTGGACAGGTGCCTTTTAACAATATGCTCTCCCAGTCTGGTATTTGAAATAGTGGGACCAATTTCTTCTTAATAACATTTAGTTCAAAACTTCGAAAAGGGGACTGGGGAGGGCATAAAGGTCGTTCTTGATCTAGTGTTTGCAGTTTCAGAATGAATTTTTCTCAAAAACTATTTAGTTGTTTATTTGAAGTTCTGAATTGTGGAGGCCAATTTTGACCTGTCCAAAGTGCCTGCTCGTAAACATGATTTTCTGTCTCAACTGCATATCATATGCATGTGTTCCCTCAGGAACTGTTACATAAATTTCTGTGGGAAATTCAAAAGAAAAAAAAAAAAATCTTATAGTGGTATATTTTTTGTTGTGCACTCATGTTGTGATGACCTTGTTTCAGGTACTCGACAATGGACTCCTTGTTGACCCCCATGAGCAGAAGGGTATTGCTGATGCCTTACTGAAGCTTGTGGCTGATAAGCAGCTCTGGATGAAATGCAGGCAAAATGGTTTAAAGAACATCCACCTTTTCTCATGGCCAGAGCATTGTAAGACCTATTTAGCTCGTATAGCCAGTTGTAAACCAAGGCAGCCACAGTGGCAAAGTCGAGATGACAATAGTGAAACCACCGAGTCAGGTTCTCCAGGTGATTCGTTGAGAGACATTCAGGATATATCCTTAAACCTGAAGCTCTCATTGGATGGGGAAAAGGGCGAAGAAAGTGGCAATGTCGATGGTGGCTTAGATTCTGCAGAGACCATGAAAGATACAACAGACAAGTTAACAAATACTGTTTTAGCAGTTTCCAAAGAAATGCTGAGATCTCCAAAATCTATTGAGAAGGCTGATCAGAACAGCATCTCTACAAAGTTTCCTGCTTTAAGGAGGCGGCGTCGTATCCTTGTTATTGCCCTAGATTGCTTTGATTCTTTAGAAGGAAGTTCCACTCTTCTTAAAGTTATTCGTGAGATTTTTGAGGCAGCAAGATTGAACCATGGCTTGGCCTCAATTGGGTTTATATTATCGACGGCTTTAACAATGTTTGAGACATACCGACTATTGCAAAGTGGTGGTTTAAGTGCTACAGATTTTGATGCTTTTATATGCAACAGTGGCAGTGAACTCTATTATTCTTCTCTGAATACTGACGAAGTGGGTTCTCCTGAATTCCCCTTCCTTTTTGATTTAGATTATAGTTCCCATATTGATTATAGGTGGGGAGGGGAAGGGTTGAGGAAAACCTTGGTTCGTTGGGCCACTTCTATTGTTGATAAGGACGATAATGAAGCACAAATGGTAATTGAAGATGAGCAACACTCCTCAACTCATTGCTTTGCATTTCAAGTGAAGAAACCATCGATGGTAAGCATAATATTCTTTTCCGAAATGATTTTCAGAGTTGATGGTGTGCAAGACTTATAATTATTGGTGAATCTTATATATGTATACATATACACACCCCTCATTACCTATATATATACACTACAAAAACGGCTATAGGCGAAAATGAACAGTGATTTCACCTACCTTCATCACCATCCAAACTTCATCGCACGGTCAGGTGTTTGGTACTATTTAAATTTTCATTTTTTTTTTATCAATCGGAATGGTTTAAGAAAAAAATAATTTGTAAAATATAAATTGCCCAAAATACCACCAAAAATTTATGGGGGTATTTTGGTCAATTTATATTTTGTGAATTATTTTTTTCATATTTTTATTAAGTGCGCCTCACTAAGATGTACACACACTTTAAATTTCAAGTAATTTGGATTTGTAGAAAAAAAATAAAAATTGAAACACTACCGGATAACTGTGACTGTGCG